TTACTGCTGGGATGTTGAGAAGCAGCAAGTCCTGAGAGAGGCAAGGATTTTTTTGTGAGTGATATCATTGTTGGGATAGATTTAGACAAGATTTATAATGTAATACATTCTTCTTCAGGTCTGAGAAAAAAGCAGGCCCGGCAAGGACTAAAAACATCCTTTGGGGCTCTGAAATTGGAGGAGAGAGAAATTCTGAGGGGTACCTGGAAGACAAGAAAAGATAGCTTGATTAGTGAAAGGTCAAGACCCTTCAAAAGAGAAGAGAAGTATTATCATTTGTGGTGTGAAAAAAGATTAGCAGGAATCAGGTAGGTTATAGTGAGACATGAAGTCAATATATGTATTGAGTCCTTGGTTCTTAGTGTCCAGCCAGCTTATAAATTTTTGTTCCCAGACTTGCCTTTTAAAGGAGTTTTGCAAATTTCCCTTCAGCACGAGGATAGTGAGGTCAAACTGAGTGATGGTTCTGTGATGCATTGTCCTACACATGTTTCTGTGTCTGTCTTTAATCTTCTGCCTGTAATCATTCATTCTGGTGTGCAGTTTAGTTTAGTTTCACCCACAGAGTTTCCATGAAGGCATTTGTACACGGGATGAGATATACCAGTTTTTGGAAAAGATGTGTAGGATCCGTGGATTCTCCTGAGTCCATTGTGGGAAATATTGATTGTTGTAGCAATAAAGATGTGATAGTTTTTGCATTTATTGTAAAGGCAAGGCTGTATCGCATTTGATGTGTGTTTTCAGCCCCTCACCACTCATGGCTTTCAAAGAACTTCCTAACCTTGCTCATCTTCTCCATGGAACCAAACTCCGCACTGATTAACAGACATCAACTGGGACACCCCATATATTATACCTTACTGGAATCTTTCCTTAGGAAGACAAGCAAGCAATCTTTCTTTAGGACTGCATCAGTGAGGCCTAAAGACATTAGATTGCTATCAACCTAGGCTGTATTCTATTTCTCTTAGGGCCTTGTTACACCTTACACTATGAGCTTCACAAATGCTGATCAGTGTTAGTGCTAGCTTGAGTTTGGACCAATCGCATATTTAGGCCAGCAGGGGCCTGGAGAACTAAAAAGTAAGAATACCTCCTTCCCATTCCAGGTTCCCCCCCTACCTCCCAGGGCTCCCCCCAATTTTCCCTCCCCCTGCACCCCTGCCATCTCTTCTGCTGGGCTGCTGCTGTCCTCCAGGCTAAGCCCAGCCCAAAGAGCAGCAGCAGCAGCCAGGCAGGAAGGTTCACCCTTCCCTGGCTGCTCCCCCAGGAAAGACAGCACAGGGGCTGCAGAGGGGACACTGAGCAGGGATCTGGGGTGCTGGGCAGGGGTGGGCAGTAGACTGGATCCAGGCCACTGAGGTGGGGTGGGTGTTTACAGTGTAGCCTAGCCTAGAATGGCTACACCTTAGTATAACATGAGCTGGGTAACATGGATCAGAGATAATCCTGCCCTGGAGTGGCATAACTTTGAGGCACCTAAAGAGTACTTAAAACTAGTTTCAGATATTAATATGCAGACAGTCGAGGTGTTAAGAGCTCCAAGAGCTGCCCAAAATTACTGTGTAACAAGGACTTTACTAAAAAGGATGAAGTCTCTAACCTCCAAAGATGTGTAGTTAATATCAGAGAAATTCAGAAAAGACCTATTACTGACATCAGCTCCCAGACTGGATTCCAGCTTAGACAGCAAGCTATGTCTTCCGCAGATGTAAACCAGCATAGCTGCCTTGACGTTAATGATGTTCTGTTGATTTACACTGGCTGAGAATCTGGTTCTGTGTCCATTAGTGTGTATCTGGCATTGTGGAAAATCAGTGCTCACATTTATCCTTTTTGCGGGATCTACGATAACTAGAAATTTCTTGTTTTTGGTCCTTGTAAAATTTCCAAAACTATGAGTTTCATTTTGAGTCAAGGACTTAAACCCCCAAAGAAAATTTTCCTAAAACTTATAAATGTTTCCTGCCTAGGTTTTTGGGGAGAAAGTAAAGAAGACGAGGTAAGAGGAAGCTGACATAAGTGGATGTAACTTACATGGAGGGATTGTAGAGAGTGAAGAACAGCTAAAAAGGCCCTGCAGGTGTCAGATAAAACAAGTATGTGTGTGGGGGAGGAGGTACTTTATTTTATACCTCCTTTAGTTGCTTTTCCTATATCAGTTCCATAATTTTGTCCTCTAAGGACCAAACTGTTCCAAGGTGGGATTGCCCTGGAGGTGAAAGAGGGTGGAACTTGACCAACCTTATATAAACTTGCTTGCCAGTGTGTAATGCATTACCATTTGGACCATAATTATATCACTACATCAACACCGTCACTGCAATGCATTCATCTTTGACTATCATAAGCTTTCCACTTAAGCATACTGGCAAAAAGGTAATGCAAAAACCTAAACCAGCATCACTCAAAACTTGAGCCAGGCTTTCAGAAAGGCTGGCAAAATTCTCCACTTGGCCTGAATTGGGTGGATGTGCTGCTTGATCTCACTATGGATTTGTTATTTAGGTAGCCAGGTTCCATGCAGAGTAACAGTCCATAATAAATGGTTCTTTCTATGAACATTATTGAGGTTTGTATTTGTGCCCTTCAAGGAATGCAGGCTGTAGCAATCTAAAAATGCTGGCTCTTTGGCAGGCTAACATAGCTAAGAGATGAGCCGACCAGAGAGCTGGAGAAATGATTTGAGGGATGAAAACTCAAGACTGACTTTCTATCATAGGGAAATCTGTCTATTTCCTATTATGTGTTACAGCCTTAAGACTGATATAACCTCTTGCAGCTTAATATCCTGAGATCCCATAGACTAGTAACTATGTGGGCTGCTGTCCATTAGAAAGGAGTTAGGGGATTCTGTACAGTGGCGGTTTAGCATCTGTGACTGTTCCAAGTAACAACTGCAAAATTAAAAAAAAACAAAATGTAATTAAACAAAAATAAAAATCATGTAGCGGTTTTTAATAACATTTAAATACTGAAGTAGGAGTCTACAGGTCCAAGTTGTAGCCTTAGCTCTCCGCTCGTTGTGCAGTATTGAAAGCCACCCATTCTCTTCCATGGTTTTTGCCATCTGTCCAACAGGAATAATAATCTTACCAATTTAGCTTAATTCATTGCTCTTTGTAAAGGGCACTGAGACCTACAGATGGATGGTGCTATGGAAGAACAAGCTGTTGTTTATCACACTAAAGCATTCTAATTATGAAAAGACAATTTCCAGGATAAGCCACTTGATGAGACCTTCCTTTATTTCAAAACCCCAAAGGACCTGCAATAAATTTCACAGATTATAGTGGCTCAAAGTACTATGTTTTACTTGAAAGAATTTAAAAGTTTTAGCACGGTTGAGTTTTTACTGATTTTGAGCTATATCTCAAAAGCAGCATAAGTTGTCATTTTAAAGTTAAAAATTAGCAACTAATTAACCTAGAAACGTCTTCTGTATAGTACTTATGTCCTAGATAATTTTGTATGCTGAACTTGAAAAAATCAAGAAATTCCCATGTGTGCAATGCCAATGAAAGCAGAAAAGTCCCTATTACAGTTAGGAGTAAAACTACTTTCTGCTTATTTACATCATCCTATATTTTCACATGTATGTAGTATTTTATCTATTCTAAGCAACAGGACACACTGCCACTGTATGCTGTTCAACAGTTGTAGAGGTGGCTGCATTTTACTGGTGGTGTGTTTTCAGTTGGGGGTTTCCAGAACTGCAGGCAAGTATTTGTGTACCAAATCTGTGCATGCAGATTCTGAAGTTGTTAATGGCAAAAGCATACCAATAAGACAAGAGAGGTTTGACTATTCATTTACAGTCACTTGCTGAGACTATGTGCAATAACAGTAACTGTGTACACTTCTGACAGCTGCTAATGATGGAACTGCACTGCACTGTTTCCATTCTGTCATAGCTTTTCACACTTTCTTTCCCCCTTACTGAACATTGTTGAACTATTCCCACTAGAAAGTCAGTAGTAAAAATAACAAACAATACACTGTTCAGTGCATTGGTACTGTACAAGTTTAACTGTAAACTCATTTTACACACCCCTCTTCCCTCTCTCTCCACACACACACAGAGTCAGTGAGGGGTCTTGCAGGCATGCAGAGATGGACAAAGCATGCAGTGATTAGAGGCATTGAGTCCTTGTCTGTGTGGGAGAAATCAACTGGTATAGTGGTTGAAGCATAATTTAATTACTTTAAATTTACTCCAAAGTGGGTAGTACTCCTGAATCACTCTTATTTCAGAAGAATTCCTCTGCTTCCATGGCAGAGTAATTATTCCAAAAGAAGGCAGTTGTTCCAGATTAGCATCCACTTGAAGACTTACTCCTGAATAGATATGAGAGCCAATTTCCCCACATAGAGGCCATGTCTACACGAGATGCTTACTGCACAGTAGCTTACTACTGCGCAGTAGCTCATTAGTACTGCACAGTAGCCTCATGGGGCATGAACTGTTATACAGCGCTACTGCATAGTAGTAACAAGCTACTGCGCAGTCAGCATCACCTGGAAGCTGTGCAGGGATGCTACTGTTCAGCAACGCCGGTTACTGCACAGTCATTCAATACTTGGTTATGCAAGTACTAAATGATTGTGCAGTAACTGCGCAGTCAGTATCTCATGTAGATGTGACCAGACAAGACCAAACAGATTAGTGAAGACTAGGGGGAGGAAGGGAAGTAATCTTAACCATGGCTCTTTGCTTCATGAATCGGCAGAGAGCGGGTCACAACTTCAGTGCTCTCCACCTGCGTAAGCTAAGGAGTCTAGCCCTATGACTGATTGATGCCTCCCAGGCACGAGTACAGAGAACATGAAGGATTCTGTACTTTACCCCCCTGGGGCTCAAGTGCATGGGGGAAGACATAGTTTATTCCTGTATTTTCACTTTTTTCAAAAAACCTTATCTGCAATCATTTTCTAAGCCCTTTTGGGAAAGTGATTTCCTGTAAATGAAACAGTCATTATTTCTTCCTTTTTTCCAGATTGTCCGACCATCGAATCATGCTACAATCCAGAGCATTGTAAAAGCAGTAGGAATCATTCCAGGCATTCCAGAACCCTGCTGCGTTCCTGACAAAATGAACTCCCTCAGCGTCCTGTTCTTAGATGAGAACAAAAACGTCGTTTTGAAGGTATATCCCAATATGTCTGTTGAGACCTGTGCCTGCCGATAAGTCTTTACAAATAAACCTTCAATGCAACCAACACATTCTGCTTGACTACACTGGGAAAGTTGTGAATGGGAAATGACTTAGACTGTGTTTGTGAATGAATCCAAACCCACATCTCCTTCTACAGAAAAAATGCAGAGACACTATAGCAGCACACATGTTCACCTCTAAGGACCTTAAATGTCATCATTTGTCTTGCAAAGTAACGATTCACCTTCCAGAAATTCCAGACTTTTCAAATCTATTTTAACCAATCTAGCTAAGAAATCTGATCATTTTTACTTAAGTTTACCGTAACTGGAGGACTAAAATACATTTTTATATACTATTTTCCTGGCTATTTTACTTTCCAGCTAACCAAGAAGATGGGAACAGACTTTGCAAAAGCAAGCGTATTTTAGAATATTGCTTTTTTACACAAATCTTTTTGCCTAAAATTCATACCTTTAGTCCACATATTTATACTGAAAAAATGCTGTAATAAAGGGCTTAATATACATATTTTCCTTCAGGATTCAAATGTAGTGCACTGTATAAGCTTTTATATATTCAGTATATTAATATAACTATTTTTGGTTACCTTTCCATAATATATACTTTGTTTTACAAAAGATGTAACACTATCCCACTGTCATTTCTGTGCTGGTTAATTTCAGGTTCTTAAACATATATATTCTCTGAATAACACATACTATATAGTAATATGTTTAAATACTAAAAAATAACCAAGATTTATATTTTTGTAAATTATACTTTATATCCTTTAGGTTGTTACATGCTTTTAACAAAAGCTAATAAATTAAGGTACAGTAGTATTTAAAAATAGTTGAAATGTCTTTCTATAAATACACATTGTTGTATTCTGTTAATTAGAGGAAAAGCAATGCTATCTTATTTGGAATTTCCAGGCTATGCTTGTCACAATATAATTTATAGATTAAAGCCAGAAGGGACTACTATGATCATCTAGTCTGACCTCTTGCATAATACAGGCCAAAGAACCTCACCCAGTAACTTCTGTATCAAGCATAAAGTCACAGCACCCTGGCTGAGAATTGCTGCCTAGTTTGGGAATCTTGATATGGCTCAGGTGGGCCAAGTGTTGAACTGTTCAGTCCTGTCATGATAAAACTGCTTCAGGGCATGCCCAGAAGCAGAACTTTAGGTACCTAAACTTTAGTTCTCTACCTCTAGAATATAAGTGATTCCAGGGTTGGGTGACAGCTGAGCAAATGCTTTGAGCTTCTAAGTTTTAGATTCACATATCAAGACTCACCTAAATCACATTTTAGACACCTAGCTCCTTTTATGGTCCTAGCTTTTACGTGCCTCCATTCTCTACCTGTAAAATGTTGGTAATAACACTATCATACTTCATATAAGTGTTGTTAACAATATTAAAGAATAGTATGTTAATCTTATGGAGAGTCAAACCACCACCTTAAAATAGAAGGTTAAAAAGAAAGCATTTTGCTTAAGATGAGCATCTCATGCATTCATTGGTACCGATAGGGTCTGATTCTTTTTTCACTGTTATAAATATGGAAGAATTGCATTAAAGTTGATGGAGTTACATAAGTGTAAAAAAGACGAGAACCAGACCCACAATAAACGATGCAATAGCTATACCTGAGTTATAGTTTAGAGTGTAGACCTTTTTTTGCAATTAAAAAAAAGATTAAACCATTGCCTATACTGTCCTAAACAAATACTCATCCTTTCCCACAGACATGGCCTTGTTCCCATTTAACATCTGGCTAGAATGACACATTGGCCTAGTGTATTTATGTTCTGGTCTATTACGTTTTGTTTTCCTTAGGGAACCTATTTTACATCCTGAACTGTTCCTTGGTCACAGACTTGCTTTCCAAGTCATGATGATGCAGGCGACTAGGAGAAGGAAACACAAATCTCTGATTCTATACGTCTGTAGGTAAAAGTCCCTCTTCTGTACACAGCGAGGATACTTTAAAGAACATGGTCAACATTTACAATTTTTGCTGGCATAGCTGCCAGCTAGATTGCAGAAAAAAATCACACCTCAAACTGACGCAGCTGTGCTGGCAAACCTTTCTAATGGTGACACAGCTTATGTAGGCAAAAGAGTTCTTTTGCTGGTATAACATTTCATTTAAGGAAACAGAATGAGACATATCAGCCAAAGGACTTTCTTCCTGCTATAATCTGAGTCTCTGCTTGGAAGATTTGGAAGTTTTTCTGTCAATAAAGCTATACCAGTCAATTCTATAGTGCAGAAAAGACCTAGGCCAAGATTTTTCAAAAGTAAGGATTGATTTAAGGAACTTCAGTGTGTGGTTACCTTACCTGAGATACCCTAAAAGGGGCCTGTTCTTGAGCCAGTGTCTTGAACACATCCTATGAAAACCAGGACCCATAAGTTGTGTAACGTTTGGCGCCCAAAATCACTTGGCATTTAGAAGGCTTGCCCTAGAATGTGGTGTTTCAGTTATTGCAATGGGAAGGGGGTTGTTTGTAGATGGAGCGTAAGAAAAAGCCTGTATCAGGGAAATACTTTCTCCATAAACTGAGTCTAGTATAATCTGCTCCTATTGACTTCACTGGGAAATATATTTGCATAGAACCTCTGAACAAAAGGCTACATCAGGCTTAGGCTGAAGTTACATGTTACATTTAGACCATGCTACATCTGTGGAATGTTAATCAATTTTAAAAACAGAATGTGTTGTAAGCAGTTACACATTATGAGTTAATACTACTCCTTGCCTGCATGACTCTGACTTGCCACTGGAGGGCTGGTGAGCAGGGCCATGGCATGGCTAAGAGCCAAGACACCTGGGGTCTATCCCCATTCTGAGGATGCAAGGCAGCAGTGCACCCTGGGATGCTGGAGGATTCATTGTATCTCTGTAGAGCAGACTGAAGTTACCCTAAAATTTTCTGAGTAGCATGGGCCAGAGTTAACCCTCTCCTGAAGTGGCATAATGTTGAGATGCTCAGAAGGCACTTGGCTAGAGTTAATGAGTTTTAACATGTGGATGCTCACATTTTAAGTGTCCTTAGTATGATCTAAGCTTAACATACACTTTGAGGGTAAATCAATGGCAAAAAGAGTGATGTTATTACTAAACAGAAACAGGTGAGTAATGAGTAGGGGCTGGGAGGTAATTTTACTTCTGTATACCGCACTGGTGGAAGAACACTAGAATACTGTATACTGAACTAGTGTCCACATGTTAAAAAGGATATTGAACCACTGGAGACAATATAGAAAAGAACAACAAAAATTATTTGAGGGCTGGAGAAATCACCTGAGAGAGACTCAGAGGGTGCTCAGTAAAACATCACCATCTACACGTGTGGCAGTTAGGTCAGTGTAGACTTATTTACTGCACTCTCAGATGGTACTTGTGTCTGATGGGACTATCTGAAGGTGGAGTAAATTATGTGCTTATATGTATGTGTAGCTGGTGATGTCAGGATTAGCTCACTCCGGCTCAAATTGTACCAAAGTTTATTCAGTCGCATTAATTGCATGTGTAGACATGCCAAGAGAATTCAATCAGAAAAAAAGTCTGTGAGGTAACTTATTTATTATGTAAGTACCCTAATGACAAGAAAATACCATGAATGAAAAGGTGTTTTAATATAATAGAGAAAAGCATAACAAGATCAAAGGCTAAAAGTTGAAGCAAGACAAATTTAAATTTTAAAGTAGGCGCAATTTTTTTTTTTAAGTAAGGACCATTACCCAGTGGAATAAAATCCTGAAGGAAGTGATGGATTCTCCATCTCTTAATGTCTTTAAGTCAAGATTGGATGCCTTTTGGAAAGATAAGCCTTAGCCAAAAACAAGTTATGTTTTATTCAGACATAATTTACTTGGCTCAATACAGAAGGCAACGTCACTGAAATGTTATTCCCTGCGCTAAATGAGAGGTTAGATTTGATGAGCTAATGTCACATCTGGCCTTAAAACCTACAAGTCCAGAAAACAAGATTTGCATGTCACTGGAGAAGAATCATGTCACAGGATGGGGTCCTTAAGGATGGCCATGTTTTCCTAAGGCCCCTTGACCATGCCAGTTTGGCCCAATGGGCACCCGCAGTTCTCGCCCGCCATGTCTTTGATGAAAAATATGAAAATAGGGAGGCTGCCTTTAAGTCCTCTTGGACACGGTTTGATGGATTTACTGAACCCTGTGGGTCTGGTTCCACAATGGGTGTTTCAGGGCACCCTAGACTTATGAGCTATATGCATGGCTCCAAACACCCCTTTACCATGCCCCAAGCCTTGCAGATGGTAATGGCGTTGTCTTGCCTTGGCCTCATTATAATTTGGCCCTTTGTCTGCACTGGGCTCTCCGCAGCCCTGTCTCTGCACCCCTCGGTGCTGGGGTCTGTGCACCCTGAAATGCCACGCCCTCTCTGGCGCCAGGGTCTCTGCACCCCAAAATGCTGCACTTCCTCTGGCGCCGGGTTCTCTGCGCCCCAAAATGCTGCACCCTTTCTTATGTCGGGGTCTCCACGCCCCAAATGTCATGCCCTCTCTGGTGCTGGGGTCTATGCACCCCAAATACCACACCATTACTCTGCCCCTTTACCATTACCCGAAGCAGAGGTTAGCCAGGCCTCTTTCCCTTCTCATTCTGAGAGGACTCCTTCCCCCTTAGCCACCAGCAGAGAACTGCCTCCCTTAGTTTCAGCCTGGGGTTTATATGGGCCCAAGGCCCTTTCCCTTCCTGCCAGCTGACCACGTACAGGTGCTGACCAATTTCCGCCTTAGCCAGTTGCACATGGCAACCTGCACCTGGGCTCTGCCTGGCTCTTTGGGCTCTCCCCAGGCAGTTCCTGCTCTTCTAGGAGCAGGGCACCTTAGTGCCCTGCGACAAATCGGATAAAGGCGGAGTAAAGGAAGATATGCTCTGTAGGGTTGTGTGAAGCTTCAGTCCCTGATTCAATTTGGCAGAGATTTAGCCCGATTTGGTGGCCAAATCTCCAAATCCAAATTGAATCAGGAGACCTTTTAATCTGTCTGAATCGAATTGGAACTCTCCAAATTGATTCGGAGAGATTCAGAAAGATTCGGAGATTTGGACATAGACACAGCTTTAAAGGTTTTTTCTACAGACCTCAAGGTACCAGGCGGCTGATCAACACTGTGATGGTGGGGCAGATGGAGCATCCCACAGGAGTGCGGTGGGGTCCCCAGAGTGCTCGGCAGTAGACCCCGAAGTGGACCAGAAGCACTTCTGGTCCACTTCCAGGTCTGCCGGGGAGACGCTGCTTATGCTCCCACTCCCGTTCGGCTCAGCAACTGGTGCCTCCTGGGTCTGGAGGGTCCCCCCATGGCTGATTGCCGAGATGGGGAATAGATGCTCCCTGGCAGACCCATAAGTGGACCAGAAGTACGTCAGGTCCACTTCTGGGTTGGCTGCTGAGCACATGGGGGGAGCGGGCCCTGTGCTCCTATGGGATGCTCCATCTGCCACAGCATCACAGCATTCATGAGACACGCCTGGTACCCTGAGGTATGTAGAAAAAGCATTTAAAGCTGTGTCTATGTCCGAATTGTGGATTCTCTGAGTCAGCAACAAATCTTCAGATTTGGATTAGGCCGAATCAAATCAGGGACAGTGATCTGAATTAACGAATTGAATCACTGTCCCTTATTCGGGCCAAATCCAAATAGAATACAACCAATTTCACATACCCCTAATGCTCTGCTAAAAAACTGGAAAAGAATGACTAGGGATAAAATTTAGCAGTAATTTTGTGTAGGTGTTTTGAGCTGTCCTAGTATCAATGAGATGGTATGGCATCCACACATGCTACAGGTTAATTTCTACTTTAAAAATTCGTACAAAGTTTAAGTAAACTAGTTGTATAATATTAGATTAGATCAATTAGGATGGTGAAGTTCAATCAAATTAAATATCAAATCATAATATGCTATATAGATAACTAGTTTATCTTCTTGAGATACAAAAAAACACAACTAATGAGTCTCACTTCTTTTACTTTGGCCCAGATCTATATGGAAAACAATAGCATCCATGGATAAACTTCGTCGCAGGCAGAGAAACCATTTACTTTCTACATTGGTTTAGTAGGCTGAGTTTTATCTTCACTCTGAGGTCACTTAGGCAATAACTGGTTGTTCTTGGACCAACTTAACCAACCTCATGTGCATGAATCTAAGAAAATACATTACATAACATGCTATAAAGTCAGACTGTTTTTCCCCATGCATCAAAGGATGCACACTGAAAATAGAAAATCTACAAACAACTTGAAGCAAACTTGATACAAAACAGATATTTCACTGTGTACAAATAATAGCTCTCAGCTGATAAAAAGGAGGAAATTTTAAGGTTGTGTGCAATGTTGTGAGATCATCTGTTGCAAGAGCACAGAGTTCTACCAGAAGAGTGATTTTGGATCAATAAATTAAGGGACTGGGGTAAATAGCTGAGGGCAATGTTTGCTAACTGCTAATGAAATATTTTGTTCTTAACCCCCACCCCCCTTTTCAGCTTTTGTAGTTCCTTAGGGAAACACAATTTTATTCTCCACACCCCCAAAATGCTTCTCTTTAGACCTCTCCCTGTTGGCAAGGAAATGATAAAAACATAATTAAGCAATGATGACCCTGAAGTGAAACGTGGATTCTTTACAGTATGCAGTGTCCTTCCCATAAGCCATATGTGTTTGTCAGATGTTTATAGAATCTTCATTAACTAAGAGCTTTGCTAGATAACAGAAGCTGAAGCATGGCATCAATGGCTAAGATAAGGGCAAGTGTACAACCAATCTGCTTGACAACTGACAAGAGGCTGTGGTTTGAAGCAGGCTGAAAAAGAGCTCAAGAAAGTGATTTGCAAAGGGCGTTTCAGTTGTTTGCCTTCTGTTTCCCTTTCTTCTGCCTCTAATCAGACGAGTTCCAGTCAACTGGAATAGCCCTGTCTTTTCTTCACCATTAGAAAGTGAGCATAGGGAAAATGAACTATTTGGGGACATTTGCTGCATTGTCCATTTTCAACATCATTGCTTGTTTGACAAGAGGCAAACCCTTGGAAGAAAGAAGCAAGTTATCAGTTACGGAGGATTCTGATATATACTTTGGTGAGCTGGGAGAGATGGAAGGTGAAACGCATCTCAATTTTAAAACCCTACTGGAGAACATGAAGGCAGATTTACTGAGGAGTTTGAACTTATCTAGGGTCCCTTCACAAGAGAGGACCAAAGAAGAACCACCACAATTCATGATTGATTTGTACAACAGATATGCCATGGACAAGTCTTCCACCCCTGCATCCAACATTGTGCGGAGCTTCAGTACTGAAGGTATGACATCTTAAATACAGACAGGAATTTACAAGGCAGTCTGTGAGCTGGGTATTAAGTACCTATTGAAATTTGGGGGAGGCTTCATACCTAACTCCCATAGGCTCTTTAGACCAATCCCAGCCCTGGTCTATTTTGTAGTTCTTTTTTCTGCTCCTTACTTTCTTTTGGTCTACAAGAAACATAATGGCCTTTAGTTCTTTTCTTTGATTTCACATTGTACAATTTCTCCTTCTCATACTGAATCACATGAGGCACCACATTTAGAAAATGGAGGGTTACCTTGTTATCTGTCTCAAAGCTAGAGAATTAGGGCTGAGTTGAAAAATTTGGAGCTATGCTTGAGGCATCAACATAAAAACATAGGGTTGGAAGTGATCCCATGAATCCCCTAGTCCAACCCTCTGCATAGATGCTGGCTATGTTTATTTCTAAACCATCCCAGACAAATGCCTATCTAGCCTCTTAATGAAAAACCTCCAATGAAGGAGTTTACATAGCTTTCCTAGACAGCTTGTTCTATTTTCCTTTGTTTCTTACTTTTAGGAAGCCTTTTTTCTAAGATTTAATCTAAAACTGCTTTGCTTCATAAACCCACTGTCTTGTGTCCTGCCCTCTGTGACAATGGAGAACATTTTTTATCCCTCTTAGATTAGTACAGCCTTTCACACTTTTTAAAACTGCTATCCCTTCTTATGGAACAACTGTTTGCAGTGTTCCTCCCATACTTTATAAGGAGAAAAGCCAAGTGAAAAACATATCTCGGGATTTGAACTAGGGTCACCACTCCTCGCTCCCAACTTTCTGGAGTGTTCGGATCTAGGGTTTTGGTTTGGGCCCGTCCCAGCTCAGCATATCAATAAAGTGTTGTCTATGGAACATTTAAAAATAATGAAAGCTTAATCATTAGAAGCGATAAAAGGAGTGTTAAATGAATGTAATGATTGGGAAATGAACAGGCCAAGGAGAATCAAATCTCTAATTACAGAATAGACACAGCAACAACACTATAACCATCTTTATATTCCCCTATTAACATGCCTAACCCTGACCCACAGGTATGAGTTGGAGTACAGTTTCCAGGGCCCATTCTCTGCTCAGACTAGAGGTGACCATTTTTTGAACAAGCATGGAAATTTGTTCATAAAACCTGGACTGAAGTTCATCAGTTCATTTTACTTCAACCACCAAACAGTTATCAGATGGTGGGAACTCTTAAACACTGCCAACCTTATCTCCCCAAAGTGCCTAACACCTATAGCCTCCTTGACTTCAGGAAGGATTGCTAGTTCTCTCTACACTACTGAAAAAAAAGCAAACCCACCAATCTAATCAAGACATGAATCAGGGACATGGAAGGGAACAGTTCCTTATCTCGTTACCAATCCTCCCAAAGAAATAAGACCCTGAAACTTTTGGATTGCCTCCTTTCCCTCATTCTCTTCCAATCTAAGATGGTTTTTGTGTTAAGATATTAGAAAGACTTTTTTTTAATGTTACGATTTTATGCTAAGATATTGAAAAGAATTGAAAAGCTGGCACAAGGTCATATATATTTGCTATGTAATTTCTAAGAGGAATTTATCCCAATGCAAAATGGTAGAGGCAGAGTTTGTACTTCAGCCTTCCAGTAGATTTTCAGCCTCAGTACAGGCAGTCCGTGGACTTACGACACAATTTGTTCCTGAAAACCACATCTTAAGTTGAAACGTTGTAACTCGGAACCAATTTTCTCAAAAGAAACAATGTTATAAGTGGGAGATTGGTTCCCGAACCAAGACCCAATACTCTGTTTTCACCAAAAATACTCCAGAATTTTGTACTTGATCAATTATAGATAAGTAATATAGCTACATTAATGTATTTATATTATAAATAGCAATCATATTGATTTGGAAGGACTTCTCTGAGGTGACTTTGGTGGCCTTTTTGAAAGGCTCTTGGTTGGACTTTTTGAAGGGTTCTTGACTGGAGTCCTCTCAGAAGTCTTGGCTGCAGGTTCTTCTGGAGTTGTGTCTGCTTTCTTAAAGAAAGTGCCCAAGGAAGTTTGGACGGATGTTCTCCAGGGAGATGGGCGACGCAGTGAACTTGTTCGCTGGATGCCATTGCATCGGATCAAGCGTTGTAAAGTTGAAACTAACGTCAGACAGTTGAAACGGGGTCAATTTATAAATGTTGTAAGTGCGAAACGTTGTAAGTCAAGGACTGCCTGTACTTAGGAACTCTATCTGTCAGAGGCTCTAAAGGAAGCCACCAAATTTGAAGACTGCCTGGTTGCCCTAGTATTATCTCCATTACTGACCAGTACTTCCTACTTTTTGGCTCTTTATACTCTTCCCCACCCATTCCTAGTCCCAACTCTTTACATGCCCAATGTAATATAATTTTGGTCACCAAAACTTGATCCCAAATATAGTTTGTGTCAGCAGTGATCTCTGTCAGTGTTTCTCACCTTCCTAACATTCAGATGAAGTCAGACCATTTTATTTAAGGCTATTCATTATGGTATAGCTTTTTTCTAACCAGGTCCTTGCAAAGAGTGGGTGTTTCTTCTGAAATGGAACATAAATCTTTCTAACAGTATTAGTTCTCCTCATTGGATTAGCATTATGTCACACTATCTGTTGGAAGTTAAGTAACCACATTTATTAACCTCCTGTTGCAGATGTTGTTTCTTTGACCTCATCAGAAGAAAAACCCTTTCAGAAACACATCTTGCTCTTCAATGTCTCTATCCCACACCATGAAGAAGTCACCAGGGCTGAGCTAAGAATCCACATTTCCTGTCATAAGGATGCTGGCTCTCTTTCTAGACTGGAAGGCAACATGGTCATTTATGATATTCTTGAGGGAGACCTCTGGGAAAGCCAAGAAGGCACCAAAGCATTCCTTGTCTCTCAGGATATGCAAGAATGTGGATGGGAAATGTTTGAGGTATCTAGTGCTGTGAAAAGATGGGTCAGGACAGACAGATCAAAGACTAAAAACATGCTTGAGGTTGCTGTTGAGAGTAAAACACTGGGTGATTTCACTTGTGGGAAGCTGGACATCAGTGTTACCCCTGACACTAAAAATCTGCCCTTGTTAATAGTGTTCTCCAATGATCGCAGCAATGGAACCAAGGAAACCAAAGTGGAGCTCCGGGAAATGATTGTTCATGAGCAGGAGAGTGTGATAAAAAAATTAGCAAAGAACAGTACTTTGCCTGAAGAGGAAGAGGAGGTAGAAGAAAAATCTTTATCCATCACGGGGCTCCGCCAGCCTTCATCCAGAAGCAAAAGAAGCACTGGATCAAACCATTGTCGGAGAACCTCCCTCCGGGTGAACTTCAAAGACATTGGCTGGGATTCCTGGATCATTGCACCTCAAGATTATGATGCATTTGAATGTAATGGGGGTTGCTTCTTTCCTTTGACAGATAATGTTACCCCAACGAAGCATGCTATTGTTCAAACCTTAGTGCATCTCCAAAACCCTAAGAAAGCTGCAAAGGCCTGTTGTGTTCCTACCAAGCTTGATCCCATTTCCATTCTCTACAAAGATGATCTTGGGGTGCCCACATTGAAATATAACTATGAGGGGATGAAAGTAGCAGAATGTGGGTGCAGGTAGTACAGGGCAGCAACTTTGAGAGTGAGAACACAAACCTTTCTCCTCTTTTGTAAATCTGTACATTAATGGTGTAAATGTAAATCCATGCATGCAAACAGTCTTTTGAAAAAACAAATGCTTTACCTAATTATATTCATTGTAAATAAATTGCATATATCATGGTACAATTAATACTGGATTAAATCCTGTGAGGTTGATAGTCCAATACATTATTTAATAATAGATAACACTCCATCCTGCGTAATCTAAACATAATGATGTTTTGCCAATTCATTTAAATGCTCTGGTTGCAAACTAGAGGATACTCAAAGCAGCCTCTAGAATTTGGATGCCCAACAGAATTTAATAGGAATTCATGATCTAAATACCTTATGTAGGATAAACAATCTATCATGGAATAAAAGGAAACTAAGCTCTACTGTGCATCTGGTGCTCTTTGGTAATTGCCATTTGCACATTTTTTCCTATCAATAGCTTAGTCCTCAGTGAAACTACTGTGTTTTCACGTCTATTTAACACAAGGTAAGGCCATGCATGTAGACACATAACACATAAAATGACTCTGCCTTCTTCAAACCAATGGTAAATTGTTTGTATGTCTATACCTTTAGTTAACTTTGGAAAACTCAATTCTTATAGAACTCAAAGAATTAAGCACAACTGGATGGTAAACTAGATGCTGCAAGCCCTTATTCCTAAACCAGGACTTTCAAGACTTTTTAGTATAGGTGACTTACAACCATGAGCAAAGGTTTGTCACATTCCAGCTGAGTGTTTCAAGTCTTAATTATTTCCAGTGTTTCCTTTTGTGTGTGGCAGGTGCTTTTGTTGTAGCTTTCTTATCCGCATTGTCCCTATTTTTACCGCTTTATGGCACATACTTGAAAGATAAGAAGTGCAGCCTTCCGCCTTTAAGACACTATTTCCTCTGAAGAACTGCATCCCTTATCTCCACACAGAGATAAAGAGCCATTTTGACCTACTGTACGTTCTTAGTATTTCTTCAGAAGAATATGCAGTCAAACAATGTTCATAATTAGAAGCTGCATCCTGCTCCCACTGACATTGCAGGGAGCTGTTGGGTATCAGCAGTTTTGAAAAACAAGATGCTTATGTTGGTGGCTAAATGTATGCTGCGGGGTCTAACTTCAGGTTCCCAGCTTTCAAAACATTTGTTAGTGAGAAATATTACTTTTCGTGCCTAATATACTTCCTGCTCTAACTGGAAGCTTAGAATGACTGAAAAACCTTAGCTATATTTGGTGAGATATAGTAGTGGGGGTGATGGTATCGTTGTATGTTCCTTCAATTGATAGGTTTTACTTTCATTAATCAGGGTCTTAATCCTGAAGTCTTTAGTCAATTTGAATTCCTTTTGATTTCAGTGAGGGTTTTGCCTAAATAAAAACTACCTAAAACCTTGTGGATTCAGCCCCAGGTGATTGATCTAAGTCAGTGATTCTCACCCAGCAAGCTACAACACCTGGGAGTGCCTTGAGATCCTTTCAGGGGTGCTGTAGGGTACAGCATGATGTTAGCACTGTTAGGTGTGCAAACATGAATCATAAGATAAACCCAGAGTTTTTAAATTGGAATCCATACTGTCAATACCATTCGGACATGTTCTGCTTTTTCTGCGTTCTTTGCAACAGAAGAATTGCTCTCTTATTTTTATATAGTAAAAATACAAGTGAAAACCAAGAGCTGGCATTTTCCAAAAGTTGCCCTGAGTCTATCAAGGGGACCCTTGAGTCTAAAAAGGTTGAGAACTATTAGTCTAACTACCGCACATGACAGCCATGACTCCCCACTTCTTTTTGTTATGCAAAGTCTCCCACCAAAGTCCCATCGTATAAAATTTCATGCCTAAACTGATTAACGCTAGAGTTGTGCGAAGCTTTGGTCCCCAATTCAATTCGGCAGAGATTTGGCCCAATTCAGTGGCTGAATCTCTGACTCTGAATCGAGTCAGAAGACCCTTTAATCTCTCAGCGATTCGGCTGTAGATACCGCTTTAAATGTTTTTTCTACATACCTCTAGGTAGCGGGGGCTCGAACGCTGCAATGCTGGGGCAGATGCAGCGTCCCACAGAAGCAGGTGGGGCTCCCCAGCGTGCTCAGCAGCAGACCCGGAAGTGGACCAAAAGCACTTCCGGTCCACTTCCAGGTCCATTGGGGAGCGCGTAGGGCCCCCCTCCTCCCCCCCCAGCTCGGCAACTGGTGCCACCTGGGGGGGGGCACCCAGGGTCCCCCTGCAGCCAACTGCCGAGCCAGGAGGGGGGCAGGGGGGGGGGCCCTGCACACTCCCCGGCAGACCTGGAAGTGGACTGAAAGTACTTCCAGTCCAATTCTGGGTTCGCTGCCAAGCATGCTGGAGATCCCTCAGCAACTCAGTGATCACGAGCTGCGCCTGCTACCTCAAAGTATGTAGAAAAAAACCTTAAAGCTGTGCCCGTGTCCGAATCGCTGATTCGCCAAATCAGCATTGAATCTTCAGATTCAGATTTGGCCAAATTGAATCAGGGACAGTGATCCGAATAAATGGATCGAATCACTGTCCGTGATTTGGGCTGAAACCAAATCCAAATCGAAAAGGGTCCATTTCACACAGCCCTAATTAACAGACTAGCTATCTGTTCAAAATGATCCATATGATTGATGAGGCAAGAATCTAAACAGTAGCTCAATGTACAGCAAGCAATGTGATTTAAATGGGTACATATGTTTTAAATTAGGGCCGCCTGTGGGCAAGATCAATTCATTTGGCACAAACCATTCAGCTATGAAATCTAATACACAGTTTATTTACCATTGTTAATATAGAGCAAGTAGCAGGCGACCGAGAGTGAAGCAGCTATAAGTCTATCGAAAGCTTCAGGTGACATCATAAGCCAGGAAAACAAAGCTCAATTCACTAGCATCCTGAGACTGAATTATAGTCCTTGTCATTCGGAATTGGCCTGCACAGACCTAAATTCGATATCTGCATCCACCCGTGCCCCATGAGCCACTTCCCACTGCTGTTTCTCCCAACGCCACTAAGTCGCCACTGATGTTTCCTCCCAGTTCTACTCCTTGTGTTCTCTACTCTTTACCCTTGTGTCTCGATATTTCTTCTACTCATTATTATTGTTCCCTTTTCTCTCAGCTTCCAGTGTTCCCACTGCCTCTGCTTCCCTACTGTCTCCTGTGCTCCAGATCATTATCACAGCTTCCCCTTCCTGTGGGCATAAAGAAACAAGTGGAGTGCTCACATTACCAGAAACACTGTTTAGTGACTTGTGAAGGTGATAGTACCTCAGAGCACCCATTCGATTCACCTAGAAGGCCTGATTCTGTTCCTATAGGGCTTCAGTGAGAACAGGATTATGTTTATGATCAGCTGAAAGGGCAAATAACAGGAGCACCATCCTCCAGAAATTCACAGGGAGAAACTAATAAACATCAACTTTTCTTTCACAGGGACTTACCTTATATATTGATTTTTTTATTTAGAGAAAAGATTGGTTTGGTAGTGCCTTTTATTGGACCAATTAAGTTGGAAGAGATGTTAGACTAGCTCTGTGGCACAAAAAAACCCCTCTCTTGGGTCAGATTTGTATTTATACATTTATTCACTGTGAAGAAAGACAAAAAAGCACATTTGGCCCATAGATTCAGATTTCAATCACATTAGCAAAATTCCAGAGCAACACCACTGATCTCTTCAGACTTTCAGCACTATAATTAGTTCCATAAGAAATGTACAGAGCCTGATAATGGTCTCTAATAAGGCCGAAGCGGTGCAATGCCACCTTCAAGTAGCTCTTTTGAGTTAACTGTGGATTCCCTGGGCATCAGAGAGCCCAAAGGTTACACACAGCTGCTATACACCCAGCCAGTTGGAATGCAAAGGGAATATTCCAGCCATGTGTTGTTCTTCACATTAAAGGTAAGGGAAGCTTGTGTTAAGCAAATAAAGGTTTATGCATAATATATTCACTGAGCAGCACAAATCCTGCTCCTAGCTGTAACAGGCAGATGACTCCGTTTTGATCAGTATTTGGAACCATGCATTCCTAGGTGAGCAATGATGCTTTACATTCTCCATCCCCACCCCTTATATGAAAATAGCAATTATTTCATATTCTGCATATCAGGGGCCCAGTATGGAGTCTAATGGCTCTGCCAGCTCTATGGCACTTGTGTATTCTCTATAACTTTCTGGCTGGTTTCTGCTGCCAGAAAAATCTTGAAGCAGCTTGAAAGGCTATGCAGAGGTGAGGATTTGAAACCACTGTTTAAACCCACTGTTCTAAATTACATAGATCAGTAGCTAAAATTAAATGTACAATGCTGAAGTCAAATTTAAATATCCTTTATTAATATGTATCTCAGCTACTCCACTGTTATACTGCGGATAGATTTTTTTCGCACAGACTCTAACCACAGGGAAAGATTTCTGTATATTTCATTGTTATGCCAACAGAAGTCTTCAGTCTATTGTAATGTGTTAATTGGAGCTGGCTGCAAAATGGGAAATGGCTCCTCCAAAAAATGTTGACCTATTCTTAAAAACTACACGAAAGCGACAACAGGGACTCCCTTTACATGAAAAAGCAAAGCTACACGTGCCCCTATGGCATTCTTGTTACTGTGCCATCACTTAGTACTTCCTTTGTGCTGTCACGTCAACACGGCACATATCAACACATTTGAGATGGTCAGCTTATATCCACACATAGGCCTCAATCTTGGGCTAGGTTAGAAGTGCTGAGTGTTCAGCAGTTCAGTGTTGCAAGCTCTAAAAATTCAAAAATCAGGAGTCAGCTGTCAAAAGTAATGAGAGGGAGAGATAGATTTAATTTACAAAAATATATTATATCATATTTTGGATCTATCTTTTGAACTCGTCCCTACCCAGCCCTAATGTGTGAGGCAATTTCAGCAGTGCCCGCTCTCCACAGCTAAGGTAACCTGTGTCCTGACTTTGCAGAGCCTCTCACTGAGAGATCCAGCTTAGCACACTTTTGTGTAAAATGCTATGATGTTCTGCAAATGAGGGAGGCAGACAATAAGAGAGGTTTCCCTATGCCTAGCCATGACTGAAATGTGCATGAGTACTAAACTTCTTGCTTCATAGGGAGAACTGGCTCCAGCAGGGGCTGAAATTATATTAATTGAGCAGGCAACACAGCTGATCCAATGGCTTGAAGAGTACTGTCAAAGCTGGGCAAAATAAGGTTATCAAGGCAGTGGCATTCACAAAAGAGTTGGTCCTGTCCACATCTAACCTACCAAGGATTGGGTTTAGTTACCTACAGACTCCTTCTGCAAATGTAAATCACACTAGAGTGAACTCCATTTAGAAACCTAACGAAACAAGTTAGTTCCTCTGGACATCCACAACAGACTGTACTTCCTCATTTGGAGCACTGAGTCCAGCACGTTAAAACAAAGATAACTTTGGGATGGGGGAGACACTGAATAAAGCTGGGGAAGCCAGCAAGTAATACATCATCCATATCTACTAGTCAAGACTCTCATCTCCAGGGTGTCTTAGTAGCAATCTTCACCTCATTAGTCTCTCAGGAGTATGTGGAGCTGACAAGGCAAGGGGTTCTAGCATCAACCACCTCCCTCTTCCCTTGTGCCCACTCACACTGCTGTTCAGGAATAGATGACCTGCAAGCAAGTCCATCTTCAGCTTCTAGGGCAGAGGTGGGCAAAATACAGCCCACAGAGGGATTCTGCCTGGCTCGTGGTGGTCCCGCAGTCCTACCTAGCCCAGGCACAGGGTCATAGATTCATAGATTAAGGGTCGGAAGGGACCTAGTAGATCTTCTAGCCCAACCCCCCGCCAGGGCGGGAGAACAACAAAAAACCCCAAAAAGAGAAACGGGACTCAAATGAGTCCAGCCAGGTAGGCATCCAGCCTCTTCTTAAAGACCCCCAGGGTAGGGGCCAGCACCACTTCCCTTGGAAGTTGGTTCCAGCTCCTAGCCGCCCTAACTGTGAAGTAGTTCTTGCGGATGTCCAATCTATACCTCCTCTCCATCAACTTGTGCCCATTACTCCTTGTTATGCCAGCGGGCGCTAGGGGAAACAGCGTCTCCCCCAAACCCCTCTGGTCCCCCCTAGTGAGTCTATAGACAGTCACCAGGTCCCCCCTCAGCCTTCTCTTGTGGAGGCTGAATAGGTTCAGGTCCCGCAGTCTCTCACTGTAGGGTCTGCCCTGTTGTCCCCGGATCATGCGGGTGGCCCTCCTCTGGACCCTCTCCATGTTGTCCACATCCCTCTTGAAATGGGGCGCACAGAACTGGACACAATACTCCAGCTGTGGCCTGACCAGCGTCGCGTAGAGGGGGAGGATCACCTCCTTGGCTCTACTCGAGATGTGGTCAGCCCAGGCCATAACACGTGCAGCCGGTCCTGCCATC